AGAGAGAGAAGGGGGGGGGGTAAATAGTCCACAGAATAAATCAACTGGCTCAAATGAGCCCAGCCCTATGTATAATATATGTTAATGTACATCATTATCAACTCTCAACACTGCACGAATGCAAAACATGCGGAGGCAGTAGGTGAATAACTCGGTGAGTGCGGAGGATTAAGGATGGGACAGAAAGATAGCATAAGAAATAAAAGTATATTATAACAGGAAAAGGGGCGACAATGTTTATGTCTGCGTTCGTTTGTCTGTTTTACTGTCTTTCTATTCCCTTATTTGTATTCCAGTCTGTTTGCCTATCTGTCCCTCTATGCATCAATTTGATTATATACCATGTCAGTGTTTCTGTCTGTCGAGCTCCATCTAAAAGAGTGCGTTTCATTATAGCATCCCTGGCCTGGAAACTTGCATGACCAGCTCTCTCTCTCTCTCTCTCTCTCTCTCTCTCTCTCTCTCTCTCTCACTCTCTCTCTCTCTCTCTCACACACACACACACTCTCTCTGTAAGTTCTTGCAATGTTAAGGGCAAAGGCAAAATGTGGGACAGCGGGAAAATGCTCAGATTATTAATCTATCATCAAAATGTTCAGAGGAGTTTTTTAAAACCTGTTGGAAAATTGCCCTGGGATTTTTTGGTATCGAGTATTTCTTTGGTATCGTAGGTATTCGACATGGTACCGACTTGAAATTCTATAATTTTAAGTTGCAGACCTCTTCCGTTAGCCAAATATCAAGACTGTTATTTCATTTCATTGTATTTTTTTTCATCCTTCCCATGTCATGGAAACCTCAATATTAATTTTCAATATGAGTGCGACTAAATTTCATCGGGTATACACTTCTAGTTTTACAAGGCCGCTAATAAAATATTGTTATTTACTTATTTTCTGGTTTTTCTGGGACAAAATCATCGGACTATTTTCAACTATACTATGTACCCCCTCCGGCACCCAATATGGTAGAGAGATCTTGAACCATTTTCAGAAGACACTCAATCAGCTGAGAATGGTCGAGGTCAGGATTCGACCACATCTACCTCAAAATCGATACTATACACACACAAACTGCGCAGTTTACCGTACATAGGAAGGGCGGCTTATTGATAACAGGGCAAGACCTGTGCAATTTTTCCTCTCTCAAAAATGTGCAGTAAAATAAGTTTATCATTTTTGTAAAAGACAAACTCTATTTTGTCTGCAAAATTACACTATTATGTGTATGGGAATCATAAAAGAGTAAAACATAATTAGATCGATGTAACCTACAGTTTACTCACTTATTCTTTTCCAGTGCTTCGGGGTGCCTTTGAGTTGGCATTCCGGCAAATGGATGGTACATTGTTTAGCTGTTGTGCTGAAACTGTATGGAAAGAATCATGAAATATACCAGGTTTATTTCTTTTACGTTTAGATTTATGCAAATATGACACCTGTATTGACACTACACGAGTGAGTGAAATGAATGATTGTAAAGAGTTTTAGAATGTCTAATGCCTCTATCGACACACTTTAAGCCATTTAGAAGGTTAGTTTGTTTCGTCCTGTTTGTCATGGCTGGCCCAGTTGGATACACCAAAGTAGTAGACCAGGTGACAGGCAATGAGAAAACGTCTCCATGAAGGGATCGAACATAATCCACATGCAATGGCTATGACGCTGTCCATTATACAATACAAACCAGTGACATCAGAGAGAGAGAGAGAGAAAGAGAGAGAGAGAGAGAGAGAGACAGACAGACAGACAGACAGACAGACAGACAGACAGACAGACAGACAGACAGATAGACAGACAGACTGACAGAGACAGAGAGACAGAGAGACAGAGAGAGGGAGAGGAATATAGAGTGTAGGCAAAGAAGAAACGAGGGATAGTGGGGAAGGTAAAAAAATGTCAGTTTTGTTCGCTCTAAATACAGAACTGTTTGTTTCCAAATACATGTGAACTTGAATTTTCTTTGTCTTTGTGAAGTTTCTCTTTCAGCCCTACTTCCAAAGGAAACATCAATGTGTCCGGATCAGCTGAACATCCAAAGGAAACATTAATGTATCGCAGTCAGTTAAACTTCCAAAGGAAACCGTAATCTGTCGGAGTCGTTTAGCAATATTTGAAATTAGTGTGTCGGATTCAGTTAAACTATTTTAAAAAAAAACTTGAAATGAAACTCAACATTTTCTTACCTTTTTTTATCGTTGCATTTTATAGGCCCGATGAGCTTTCCTCGCACGCACTTGACGTAGGCACTACCGTACCCATCTGCCACGTCGATGTCGGGAACGGCTGCGCAGGCGACCTCCTCATTACGTAAGTCGATGATGCCCTCGCTAGTTTGGACGTGTCTGCACGCCCAGGGAGTCCTGGGAGTCCAGGGAGTACGACGTGTTGGATGAGGAGTGAGGGGTGTATGGGGAAATTGCCGCTTCGGAGGACCATGGCGTCTGTGAGGGTTATGGGGTTTTTGAGGAGGATGACGAGGATGGTGGGTATGAGGAGGGCGACGTTTATGGGGTGGAAAACGGGGCTTATGACGAGGAAAAGGTTTAAGGGGTGGAACACGGGTTTTATGAGGAGGGCGGCGTTTATGTGGAGGACGACGTTTATGAGGACGACGGAGAGTATGAGGAGGGCGGCGCTTTGGAGGACCGTGGCGTCTATGAGGAGCATGGGGCTTCGGAGGACCGTGGCGTCTATGAGGAGCATGGGGCTTCGGAGGACCGTGGCGTCTATGAGGAGCATGGGGCTTCGGAGGACCGTGACGTCTATGAGGAGCATGGGGCTTCGGAGGACCGTGGCGTCTATGAGGAGCATGGGGCTTCGGAGGACGATGAGGTTTTCGACTACGCTGATGGGGCTTTCGTCGATGGCGGAGTCGGTGCCCACGTTTCGAGTTATGGCGTCCATGGGCACTGTGTCGACCATGAGACTTGCGATTTCTCTTGGGCCAGATACGGTTAGATGGATGCCGAAGTACTGAGGAGGGATTCTGGCCTGAGTTTCAAAACTATCGTAACACGGGGTATGATAAATTTGCACTAAAAGATATTTTGTTAACCCCAGTTTCAGAAGTGCATTTTATGTCAAAACCTCGCACCACAAGCTCAACAAATTAAAAAAGTGATGCCCTAATGAAAAGTTATCTTAAATTCATTGCGGCGAAGTCATGGCGAAACCAAATACAAATCTATTTTTATACAAAAGTATAGTAATTGCAAATTACAATCGTTTTGTAGTCTTGGACTTGCATTGACAAAGAAAGAAAGCAGCATGCTGGTATCGCATCTTTGGATATAAAGACTGAAATATGTTCTCCTTGGCAGCAAAACTATCGTAACTTGAGGTACGATACTATGCACTTCATAAAGGAAATTTCTAAACTATCGTAACTCGACTTACGGCAGTTCTGTTTGCCAAAAAATCAGTGTTATAACATCGTAACTAAAATAGAATCGAAACTGAAAGAGATACAATTTTAAAACATCCATCAACAAATCCGGCTTGTTGTTAGACCTGAAATATGGAAAAATTACATCCGCAATTCATCTGTGCGAAGAGAAGGTCAGTTTTTTTGCTTCTCCTGAAATATGGGGTTTTCAAGATACGAGAGTTTTGAATCTCAGGCCCGGATTTAAGACATCAAAATTAATGCAATGTAAATTGGCAAAAAGGCAGAACAATCCGTAATGAAATTGTACCCCCCCCCCCCATTTTCCTCCTAAAAAATGATAAAAATCAAAATAACAACAGCAAAAAAGAAGCAATTATAAAATTCAGGTCACAGGTTTGAGAAAAGCGAGTTTGCAAAGCTAACACAATTTTATAACAATTTCTCCTTACATAATCGAATATGTTCTTTTAAAGAAATACCCCCTTTTGTACTACTTTGGACAATTTTCCAGCCTACCCTCTCCCTTAAGTGTTCAGTATTAAGAAAGATGTAATAATAATGATAATAATGATAATAATGATAATAATGATAATAATAATAATAATAATAATAATAATAATAATAATTACTTTTTACTTTTTACTTTTTACTTTTCCCTTCCTCTGGTATCCTTAGGATGTCGAGGGGGAGATGCAGGTTTCGGTCTGGCATAGATATGTTATGTTGTTCCAGGACCTTTTTAACCCCATCCAGCCAGATCTTTCTTGGTCTTCCTCTTGATTTGAAGTCAGATTCTCGGATGTTGCAAACTCTAACTGCTAGTTGTTTCTGGGGCATACTGGTTAGATGTCCTAACCATTCTTTGATTCTTTGACGCTCTATAAATTTCATTACTGGTGATATTCCAGTTTGTAGACGTTTGGTTTCGTTTCTTATGCGGTCTCTTCTGGTGACGTTGATGGTTTTTCGGAGACACCTCCTTTCGCTTGCATTTACTTTTCTTTCTTGTGCCTTGTTTAGAGACCATGTTTGGCACTGGTGTGTTAATGTTGGTTTGAAGATACTATTGATAAGCTGGGATTTCACTTCGGTCGGGATGTTCTTGTGACTGAGCAGGGGTGCTAGCTGGTAGGTCACTGCATTTGCCTTCATAGTTCTTTTTTTTTCTCTTGGTCCATACGCCCATCTTGTGTGAAGATGAATGAGTCTATCTGTTTCTTTTCTTCCTTTCTTTGTTTTTAGCAGTTTTTTAAAATCCCTACCGGCTTGCTAGGCCCGTTGCAACTTCACCAGAGCCCCGTTGGCCATCGACGTTTCAGGGAGACCCGGGCTGGCCTTCACAGCTAGCGTAGTGCCTCCGTGGCATAAAGCCACACCGTACTTCATCTAAACCCAGCAATCCCCTACTTAA